GGGGGCAGAGGAACTGGGAGCAAAGCCGTCGAGGGGGGCAAGGGATTTAGCCCAAACAGGACAAAAAGGGAGACGCTGGAGATTGAGAAGGAGCATTGGGCAAAGCTGGGTTGAGAAAAAATGTTGTGCGCATCGAAGATCGGTCGAAAGACGAAGCAAAACAACTTCACGCAAACGAAAATGACGATTATGTTAAATTGAACACAGTTAAGTTGTTGGAAGATGACCGGCGAATTCAGGAGAAAATTTTAGAAAAAAATAATGACAAATCTGACAACGTTCAAGCAAACAAAGGAAACGCAGGTGGTGTTCAAGAGAGAAACAACCAGAAAGTTTTTGACTTCGCAAAGGCTAAGGGGAGGGCGATCGATCACAGTAGATCGGGGAGGGGGATCGATCACAATAGATCGGGGAGGGGGATCGATCACAAGAGATAAGCAGACAAGAGGGGGATTGATCACAACTCTCATCACAGTAGAGGGTGGAATTTTAGGAGACGTATCGAACCACAAGAAAGGAAACAGGACGGACAAAGATCGCCTATCGGAAGTCACAATGGCCAATGATTCTCCCTCTGTCCTTCCCTCTCTGCCTACCTACCTTGGTACACCCCTCCCTCATGCATTTCCTTGGAGAAGAGTAGGGAGGGAGTGTGGATCTCTCCCCTCCCCCCCCCCCAAAAAAAAAAAAAAAAAACAGGGACAACATTGGTCGCCGCACGACTGACCAGCAGTCGTTACAGGAAGATGAGGGTATCCCAACCAGACTTCGGGGGAGGACGTGTGTCCATTGAGTCACATGCTCACCTGCACAATCTGCAATCCTTTCCTGGATGATCCATTTGCACGCCCCTCCTAAACAACACGCACAGCGGAATCAAAATGACATTCGGCAAATTAATCAATCAGCCAACCCACCAATCAAATAATTGTTCAGTCTACCTCTCGTAAGGATGACCCGCCACATCAGCATGCCAGCCTGTCAGTATTCTTGCGTGTCAACGTCAGTTCTACAGGGGAAATCCAGTCCATGAAGCGCAGGCATCCGTCGCAGGTCATCGTCGTCATAGACCGGCAGAATCCAGGACCACTTCTTCATTCCGAAGACTTGCTCCCAGTTCCTCCGGCGGCCTATGTCGTACCGCCAGCGACTAGAAATGTTCTTCTCGTACGCCTCGATCGTGGTTGTATTATTTGAAACAAGGGAGAGATGCATCAACAGGAAGCTGAGGACGCTGAGAGCAAACGCGAGATTGAAGACGAAACCGAGGAAGGTCGTGCCCGCACGGCCAGGAATACCTGCACCCGGACCGTCAGCATCGCCATTCTTAAAGAACGCAATGGACTGAGGAAGCAACACGATAGAAACGAAGGAGGTCTCCAACATTGTGTAGACCAGAAAGAGCAGGAAGAACTTGTAGTTGCAGGCACCTACGCAATTCGCAACCCAGATACAGTGATGATCCATCTTGAGAACACATCGACCACAGACAGAGCAATGGTGGCAACGTGGCGGCTTGTAGGCGCAGCATTTACGGCAGTAGCGGACACGCTCATGCCCCGTGCCAGCACCAACAGCTGCTCGGCCATCGCCCGCGACGACAGGAGGGGGCCCAGGGGTGCCGGAAACCGGGGAGGGGAAACCATCCGTGGCCGATGCCGAAAGAGAAGAGGTGACGGTAGAGGGTATATCTAGCCTAGCCAAACTCCCTGTTCCAGATATATACCCCCCAACAGTGCCCCCCACGAGGTCCATGGACCCTGCCCCACAAGTCAGCGGCACTGTGGCCGAGGCCCCCTCAAGGTCAAGCTCCTCGGCAGATGGTCGCCAGCCAGGAGGAACCTCCCCAGGATCAGTCAGGACAACAGCGAAGTAGCACCAGAGAAGCATGACTAGTAGAACATGAAAGATAATCAGCACCACCAGCGCCCATAGGGTCCTGCTACCCCCCTCCATGAGCTCGGGCCCGTAATTGGCAATCACAACAGCATAGTAAGAAAGCCCCACTACCGCGAGGACCACTAGCACCATGAAAGATCCCAACACCCGAAGGCCTGTACATAGTCGAAACACATCGATTGCCATATTCGCCCACTCAAAACCCTGCACCCCAACGACAACGACCCCCAGCAGTCGTTACTGGAAGCCTTTGCTTGCAAGCGAATCCGTAAATGACGGTAAGATTGTGCACTAGCGCAAACTAATGCCAGTAGCTATTTTAAGAAGGAACAGGTGTTGTGCTCCCGAGAAAAACAAGATGCTGTTCTTATGACTATACCACTACTTGCCGAGCTCAACACTAGAGAATGCCCTATTCCTTTTGAAACCGCCACACCTTCGCCGACCGTCTGCTCTGTTCAATTTTGTCGGTGCACTGCCACTACTGACCGTGGCATGCTGTGCTATGGAGACATTCTGCAACCTCAGTCCTGTGAAGAGAGTCTGGGTTCATGGCACCCTTGCTCTGGCTATGCAGCCACCCAAACAGCTTTGTGGCCAGGCTAAGAAGTAAGGTGCACCCCTCTTCCTCCACATCAATCTTACATTTGGAGCCCTAATCTCTGCCTCCCCCTCCCACCTCTGCACATACCTCACACGCATAACCACCCACCACCCCTCCCCGCACCTTCGAGTACATGCATACAACAATAATAGCAGAGGTTCAAGGCCCTTGGAAGAACAATGCTCCCCACAGCTATGCATGTGTGTTTAATTATTTATATGGTTGGAGCCTTGGAGGTGTGCAATCGATCGTATGTTATGTATATATATATGTACCTAACACCATCCACCCATCCATGAAAACAGCTTTCCACTGACTTCTCATTGCCCCATGCTTCCAAGTTCTACCCTAAGGACGACACATACAAAGAGGCTATTACGTAATCAGGCCCGCAAAAGCAGCTCTCAATTCCAGGAACCGATCCCGAAAAGGAAAGCCCATAGTCTGCCAGATTCTGAAAAGGAAAGCGCATAGTCTGCCAGATGTTAGAACCGCCCCTTGTTAGAGACGAAATATGTGCCCCTCATGCCAATCGCATGATTCCTTGCAGCGAATTCACATGCTCAAATGCTGTGAATGTGCCATTTCTTCCAAGAGGAAGGTGATTCAGATTTTCTTTCACATGTTACACGACACAACACCATCGCTCCTATTCTCCAGCGTAAGCTTCACATAACTCCCGCCCCTGCCAGGAGACAGACAAGCAACAAACATGAGCTCCCTTGTAGTCCATCCAAAACCTCATCTTCGAACCCATCAGCAATCTCTCTCTCTCTCTCTCTCTCTCTCTCTCTCTCTCTCTCTCTCTCTCTCTCTCTCTCTCTCTCTCTCTCTCTCTCTCTCTCTCTCTCTCTCTCTCTCTCTCTCTCTCTCCACACACACAAACACATGCGCACTCGCTCGTCCACTGCACTTCTCATCCTTACAGAAACTTTTTTTTCTTTTTCTTTTTTTCATCCTTACAGAAACTGACACATGTAACTACCGAGGTTGTTCTCTCTGGCAATACTCAAGAGTATACATCGATTTACGATTTGCCAACTCCCACACACTTCAACAGCCTCCTCCTTCAGGGACGTGGCACCCATACCGGCGGTCTTAAACCACCAGTACATGGCCCCAACCAAGTTGAGAACCGCGATTGAGCCTCTCCTAGAAATTCTGACGCTCTGGACAGGGCCTCCGGAGGGTAGGCGGGAAAAAAACTTGTCCTGTGCCTTGGCGTCGGACCAGATGCGGCAGTCAACAAAAAACAATTTCCGTCCAACCCAGGTGGGCTGCCCCGAACTTTCCAGAGAGGCTCATTCGTGATTCTCAAGACATACTGGCAGTTTAAACCGCCAGCACCCACCTCGTCCTGCTACCTTTCTTTCCAACAGGCCATTAATGCACCACGTCTTCCGAGGGTCGGGGTTCAATCCGCAGGGCGTCTTTTGGGGGTGGGAGGCTCAACAGGCCTTGCACACAGGGCATTATCATTATGAGCGTTGTAAAGAAAGCGGCCAAAAAAGTACCGGCGGTTCAAACTCCTCCTTTGTTAGACAAAAAAGCAATCCCAGTGGTCGAACACTGGAAGCGTGTGCATATGCCAAGCTTAAAGACGACAGGCTTCGCTCCACCACTCACCAAATGTGCAAAATGACAACGAATTTTCCACAAGAACATGGAAATGTACGCCAGCACAATTTTCATATTTTCTGAATGTTGGCGAGTGGTGCGGCGAGGCCCAGAAACATGTCCAATGACACTTGCACACAATAACTTTTTTTCTTTTTTTTTTTAATTTGGACCATTTCTCGATTTATGCGTGTCATCCTTGCGCAGGGGCCATGCTAATCTTCTCTGTATCGTTCCAATTTTAACGGATGTCCCGAAGGACTGCACACAATAACTTGCCATTCTTTACAACATAGTTTTTTGCAGAATATCACGATATCATGGCTGGTCTTGTGGCATTGTCATTCCTGTTCGCATTCTTCCCCTTCTCTATGGACACAATAGGTGTGAGGCTTCCTATCCCTATTCTCCTTCCCCTCCATCCTTACGCCGCAAGCTTCTCAGCTCTCTCTCCTTTTCTTGCCTTTCGTTCCCCATCCTCATGCTCTACCCTCCATCCATCCTTACCCCACAGTATGTTGCCATGGTTGTGACCGACCTTTATTACCCGTGGACTGAACCATCCTCGAGGGTTCACAGAAGTCCCACCGCTCTGCTCGTCCTGCAAGATCCTATTAGGGGCAGAGCAGAGGACGCACATCGCACATTGAATGATAGGCCGGACCTATTCTCACAGAAATCTCCCACAGAAAACTCTGCCACTAACGGCCATGTTCTCACTGATCTGATACTATATACCCATAAATATGTACACTGTACACATCTGCATAGACATACTGCCACAGATAAAAGGGAAAGAGGGAAGACAGAGGGGGGGTGGGGAGAAGAGGGAGGCGGGGGAAAGGTATAAATGAAGGAACACCTGTGGCAGATTGTTTGTCAGACTCTTCCGAACTCGTTGGAAGGCTGCTGAAGTTTATTATTTTGTCAGACTCTTCGACTACAGACCTTTCTGCAACGCGGCAAACACAAAACAGAAGGGATGATGGCGAGGGGCCATCCGAGGATGAACTTGGCAAGGGGACTGTAGGAGATTCTGTAGAAAATCCGCCTGACCGGCCTCCACTGAATCTGTGTGGCCTCGCTGCTACTAACATCTGCCTGCAAGCCTATCATCGGGAACCATATACTCACTCTGATTTCTTGGCCATTGCTTTCGATCTTGATGCTCAGGAACGTGAGTTATATGGCGATAACCCAACTCTGCATCCCCCACAGGATAGTAATTACACTCGACATGGGGGATTCAATGTCTCTGTTTTGGAGGCTGCTTTGATAAGGCGCCGGCTTGATATGCAGCGTGCCCCTTCGGGTGGTGACCCGGACCACTGTTTGCACGTTTGTGCCTATATTCTACATGCTCCTGGCCACTACACCGCTCTTGTTCGTGCCTCTGGTTCTTGGGAATTATGAATGGCGGTGCTATGGTGCAAACTATTACTGCCATCTGTGACCTCGTGCGTAAATTACCCTAACCTGCAACTGTTCCAGGTCATTGACCCTATGGGTACCTCGTGTACTTCCATGCCCGCCTCTACGCCTATCTCTGTGCCTGCCTCCGTACCTGTCTCTGTGCCTGTTTCTGTGTCTGTCTCCTTCCAGATTCCTCACTCTATGGGTACCACGTGTACTTCCGTCCCCGCCTCTGCACCTGTCTCTGTGCCTGCCTCCACACCTGTCTCCATGCCCGTTTCTGTGTCTGTCTTCGTGCCTACCTCCATGTTTGTCGCCTTGCCTGCTTTACTCTTCATTCCCCCACATGCTGCACTAACACCTTGTGACCTCCTTTGTGAGATCACCGACACAGTTACACTTGGTTGTGGAAAGCATCGACTTTGTCGACATCACTACAACCGTATAATTTTTCGGGCCCGCTGTCGGCAGGGATGCCACCTACATCCGGATTGTGAACATCCTCTACATCCAGATGCAGTATGTCCCATCTGTGCCTGCGGGCGCTATAATGAATGTGCACTTCACTGTGATGGTGAACACCCCACAATCGTCATGGCCTGCAACCGGCATGCCCTCTGTCGTGCATGCTTCAGAGGTATAGTTAATGCTAGCCGCCCTGGCTCCTGCTGTGTCGAAGTTGCTTACCTGAATGGTTTTCGTCCTATAGATCAGCGGGAGGGCTGCTACCATCGCCCGCATCCTTATGACAGTTGTCCTATCTGTCGTGAGGGTCTTACTTAGACGTACCTTGCACCCTGACAAAAATGTGCAGGTGCGCTGAAAAGAGTGTACAAGAATGTGCAAAGGTGGGGAACCTTCACTAAAACTGCAAAACTGTGAAGAATGCAGTAAAAGAAGAACATAAGTTTGTGTCATCTTACGTTGTTTGTACCCTGCACCCTAACACCCTCAAAAGAAAAGTCCGAAGGGTGAAAATGAAGATGAAAAATGAAGAAGGAAGTGCAGGTGCGCTGAAAAGCGAACGTGGTAGACTCTTCACCAAAACTGCAAAACTAAGAATGCAGTGAAAGAACGAACAATGCAGTGAAAGAAAGAAGATGTTCGTGTCACTTTTTTTATTTTTTCTCCCTCTGCCTATCGGTTTTCCTTTTCTGCTCCTCTCTTCCTTGTGTTTAACACCTCTTCCTTCACTCTGCCTCTTTCCCATAGCGTGCAAGTGGGCTGTTATGGCATACGGGGATGGGGGCAGCTCGTGCTCAACTTCATCAACGTGGCGAGCCTTGTACGTTAGGAGGAGGCGTAAGAAGACTGAGAAACTGAATGATTTCAATGTGTCTTTGTTTTTTATTTTTATCCTTTGATTCAGTGTAATGTTTTTTTTGTAAAACACTGAAAGAAATAATAATACTGTGAAACAAAGAATAAGAGGACACTGTTTTGTGTCATTCTGGTTTGTCTGTCTCTTTGCCTGTCTGTCCTTTCATTTTTTTTTTCCTCACTCATCTTATTTCTTCTTCTACTTCACGTGCTTGCGCTCTTAGTCAATAGTTATGTGACAATATATACATTGTCACAAGAATATCAGAGCGCAAAAACCAAAAAGAGGAAAAAAGAAAGAAATATATATA